CGAAAAGTAAATGAAATACAGTCAATAAAACTAGTAAGATGAGTATTCATGCAAGAAAGTGCTTCAGCAAAGTTGGATGTACCAGGCAAGCTGCATGCTGGCAGCTTCATTTCAAACCCATTGGCAGCTTCACAGGAGATGAGCACACAGGCATTTGGGTTGGCGGCTTGCTGGAGCTGATGAGGAGAAAATGAGCAGTTTCATCAGGAAACACTTTGAATTAAGAGCCAGTGCCAACTGCACAAGTTTTCATCTCTCACCTCTCTTGCAGCGTATTTCTTGCTTGTGGTAGACCATTACTTTCCCTTCAGCTGAAAGCCTTTACATATTTCTTCTGCACCACCAGTACAAAGGTTGCACAGAGATGCTCCCTCACCTCCTCAGGAAATCTCACCACTGCTGCAGGTACACGTGGTCCAAGTTCCCTCAGGAGCTCTGTCATTAACTTCCTAACGCATAAGTCTTGAAATCCCGGCATGATGCGAGAAGATGCAACTCCACTTTCTCCAGTGGTGTCACACCCACTCTTCCCAGACCTGGATGAGCCCTGCTCTTCTGAGTATCCAAACCATCATGCCCATGGCAGATCCTTGACTTACTGAATTTAGCCTTACAGCACTATTCAGCTGTCAGTTTGTGCATCTTTGTGGTAGCAGACTTCTGGACAAGAAGGTACTGTAATGCTTCTGAATAGCCCTTAAAGAAAATTACAGTCATGCCAGGGAAACATGTCTAGACAAAATACTGCACCTCAGCTACATCTCTGAGATGTTTTTCACACAGTCCTTGGCTGTATTGATTTTTTTCCAATAAACTGTAATTTCCTTCCATTCCAGTATAATGGGACATAGATTTCTCCAGGCAGCAGCAACACTGGGGCTCTCAATAGCTGTCCTATTTCTCCACTCTCTCCTTATTGCCTCATGCCACAGCAGAGGAGATGAGTTGCTCCTATGCCACAACGATATTAATCCTCCCTGGATGTCCTTTGAGGCTTTGGAAAAGCTTGTCCAGTAATTCGGGCAACCTGGTCCCAGTACGTGTTGCAGGGTCAGTGAAAATGATACCAGGCTCCTTACACCCCCTCCTGAGATATGCTAGCTCCTGCTCCCACTCACAGCAGCTTGGTTGTAGGGCAAAACAGCTGGAGCATCAGGTAAAAGTATGTCAAAATACTGGTAGGCTTTGAACAATATAAACATCATTGATATCTAGAAGTGTACTTCTCAGGAAATATTGGCATTTGGAATTTATCTATAATATTCTTATAATAAATAAAACACTTTAAAAGTGCATTATTTGCAGTACTTGGGTGTCATGTCGAGTTAGTCCAACCTCTCTGCTTTAACAAGATCAAAATACTAGATTCCTACGTTGACCTTATTATTGTCTGCTGTTCAATAGTTGCAACATAAAATGACTTCATTTCTTCCTGACAAGATGACGCTGATAGGGTCCTGTCATTCTGAAAAGGTCAAAATACTTTATCTTCTGCGAGAGGCTTGTGCTCTACAGAGCTTTTGACAAAACAGTGGTTTTCCACTGCATAGGAATTCAATCTGAAAAATTTTGGCCAGCTGTGATAATCAAAAAAGCAATCCAGGACCTGACTTTTAAAATCCAAATGCCTTAATAGAGGGGGAACTCTATTGTTAAATGCATCGTTAAATTGAATTTACTGAACAATACATCCCGCTGACAACCTCAGCATGAGCCAGTGCAGCTTTCCAGAGCTCCTCTTTAGACCTGGGTTACCTTTGGCCAACAACTCAGATTTGCAAAACCATGGAAAAGTTTCAGCTGGAAGGGACCCTGGAGATCATCTCTGCCAACCTCGTGTTGAAAGCGGGACCTTAGGTTAGGTTATCCACGGCCCTGACCAGCCAAGTCTTGAATATCTGCAACCAGACAGATTCCACTGCTTCTCTAGGCAGCTTATCCCAGTGTCCAAGTGGTCTCAGTGAAGAAGCTATTTCTAAATTTCAAATAGAAACACCCTGAATGAACTGGTGCCTCATACCTGTTCCGTTGCTGTGCGTTGTGAAGAGAATGACTGCCTCCATCTTCTCTCCTGCAGGAGTTTTATGGAAAAACTGGTTAACAGGAGTTTTGCATACGTAAAAGGGGATAAAAAGGAACACTTGCTCTATAAATTCTATTGCATTTAAGCTACTTGTAACATTTAGGACTCACATCAACAAAAGCTCTGAAGTAGACATATCTACAGGTGCAGGACTGACAATCTTTCCAAGCACAAATTGCTGGAGATAACTTATGCTTCATCCATCACAACAGATCTATTACATTTACTGGGGGAAAATCAATGAAACACTTCTATACTAATTAGATCAAATGATGTAGATACAGAACTTCCTGGTTACAGAGCAGACAGATAACCCTTCAAGAATATTTGTTGGTTGCCTTTTTTTACCTTCTATGAACAGCAACTGGTTTTGCCCCAGTTTTTTTCCCCTTGAATATGTTAAGCTACTTAAAAAAAACTTCCAAATGAAACTAAAATATATGAAGATTTCCTCAAGGTTTGATAAAGGACTTGTCTTCTAATGGTTCTTTACCCTCACTTAACAATAACACACCGATTTCAAGCAGCACTATGCACATACTTGAAACTTCTTGGACTGAAGAAAATCTCCAAAACTTGCCATTCAGCATCTGCATGACATGAGCTTTCCCATCTCAGACTTGGAAGACAGAAGGAAATACTATAGCCAGCATACCTAACTACTGGATTTTGCTCACTGTTGAGCCATGCAAGATCCAACTGGGGGAAAGTCAATGGCACCCAAGGGTAAGCTGCTCCTTCCACTAATTCTACGATCCAAAAAGTGGGCCTTTCCACTTAGCTCGGATGGGTTTTGTTCCACATTTCAGGCACTGACTTGGAATTCTTATGGAAGAGACCTTTACTATTAAAAAAATACTTCAACAGCAGGCTATATACCCTTTCAAGACAACTCTTAGCCTTCTCTTGGTGTAATGAGTGACATTGAGATCACTGAATCTCTCACTAAAAAGACGGTTTCTAGACCCTGGGGTTTTGTGGTGCTCTTTTCTCAAGGGTTAGACATGAAAATTACTACTTTGTACACAGCTTTGATCATGTTACTTCCAGAAATAAAAGTGAAGTTACTTCTCTTTTGACAAATTTCAAAATCAGAAAAAAGATCAACTCCTCCGTAAAAGCATAATGAGACATATATTGAATATGAACGATATTAAATCAATAAAAAGTGACAGAATAGATGTAATAGTCTTATCTGATGTATGTATATACATATTATAGTTAAAAAGTTGGAGAAAAAAAAACAAACAAAACCAAACAGGCAATATGTACTTATTTATGAACTTGAACCATAGCAAACCTGGTTTCTACATTCATATTTTCTCTTACGTTACACTGTGTTGATTCAAACACTTAACACTGGACAAGAAACAATTACGTGCTACAGGAAACTGCGTACACACTGACCATAATCCTCATTATCCACATCAATATGAATTCATTTCCGGATATAATGCTACTTTTCATTATTGCTGCTGTTAATAATGTCAACTTTATTTTTAGATGAGATAGTAATCCAAATTCCTACCCCCTTCTTCTCATGAAAGAGCCAAAAGTAATCATGGCAACAAAGAATATTTCCCCTTTGGACAAATGTCAATGCCACATCTTATTTTCTGCTGCCTATCTTCCTCTTGGAACCCCACAGAGGATGATCTGCTTCTCCCCCAGAAACTGAGGCTTCTGTGCCCTGCTCTACAGCCAGTGTTTTCATAGAAGGAAATTAAACAGTAGGAAATGGGAAGAAAGTCTTCAGATAGAAAGAGAGAATAAAAGCTTAAACCAGGGTTTACACTACAGAATTAAGAAAATTGCATAATAAATATATTTCAGGCAGTGTCTGTGAAACTGTGGTCTATCCCCAAGGTGTAAATCTACATCTTTGAGAGATAAACTGGAAATTAACAATGGAAAAGCAGACAAACTGTTTTAAACAAAATCAGGGTAACCAAATAAGTTTACATCATTTAATAGCACCTTTCCATCACGATTCTGAGCATTACATACTGTTATTTTTAAGACAAAGTAGTAAAGATCAATTAGGTTCATTTTAATAGAAGCAGAGCAAGATTCAAGTTCTTCTCATACCCTTCAGGAGAACCTTAAAACCAGACATACGTCATTAAGACTACTGTGGTTTCAGTCAGACAGCAGCTTCCATCACTGCTAATAGTCATAGATGCTGTGGGGAAAGGGAATTGTTATTTTTCAGTAGAGCCAGTGGGAATTTTTCAATCAGACAATTCTTAGTTGGAAATCATCAATTTTTTAACAAGCACTTTTCTAGAGTTTCTTGGGATTGGCATAAGATTTCTGGTCAAAATAGAAACAGACAGAAAGAAACCAAAGATTAGTTTGGTGCCTGGAGTACTCTTATAGCATGCGGTAAAGACCAGGTCCAACAACCCTTTTCTGGCTAACCTGCAACAGCAACGTGACCATGAATTTCCCGTTTCTGTCTCAAACAGAAAATGGGAACTTTTTCTATTTCCAGCTATTTTGGTGTATCTTCCTTCTGTTTTCAAGTCTAAAACCCCGAAGCTTTGTACTCTCTCCATAATGATTCTCTTTCCATTCAATTTTTTTAAGATCTATACAAATGGTCCTCCATCCTCTCCACAATGAGTGAGAAATCTCACTAATTAAAGGATACAGACTAACTAGAGAAAATATTCTATGTCTACACTATGAACTGGCTTCCAGCAAAGAGTATCCCACCCCACAAACACCAAAGATTGTACATATATTTACTCAAATAATCTGTGTTATTCATGAACAGACATTTTATGAGACAGAGGCAAAAGTATTATTCCTAATGGCTTGGTAGTATAGGCCCTCTGATCAGGTCAAAAGGAAGCACCTCTGGATGTGTTCCATCACTTGATGTTCAGGAAACCATTTTGTATGACACAAAGGATTAGGAAAAATAAGCTGCATGACATTTATTTTGTAATTTTAACATTAATATCTGTAGAAACATTTTATTGTCAGTACAAAAGTTAACAGATTTTAATACTTCTTTTACCCAATTTAAAAATAAAAGGACAACCAGAAACAAACCACCACATAAAACAGTGTAATTTGCATTCATACTGCATGGCCATATCAGTGTGAGTGTTCTGAAAGTAAAAACACAAGACTTCTGTAAAAAGATACAAACAACACTGATATTTTAGCAGAGGCCACTGCTATACCTACTGTTATGGAATGGATCAGAAGGAAATACTGGAGTCAGCATGAATTAATCCCTTAAAAAGATGCTGATATTCCTATGGCAAATTGTCATTATAAACAACAACTCTCTTTTTAACTTAAGTTACAATAGAGGGATAGTCTAAAAGGCAAAAGATACAGGCCAAAAGATCTGGAACCTATTATCCAAACTCAGGGAAGAGAATTGTAGTTAATTTGATGCATGTGCAACTCAGGGTAGAAGCTCAGCTCCTTTTAGAGCAGTATGTTCTGCTACGGTTATAGACAAATTCATGTCTCTCCCTACTTTAGGAACCCCCTTTGAAATTTTCTTCCTTTTTTTATGTGTGTGTCTGTGTGGAATGATTTTGCTTTTTGGCCACTGGAAACATTGCTAAAGAGTTAAATTGTTAAAGTGACAAGTATTGAGAATAAAAGACTTTCTTGTTAAAGGATTTGGCTTTGATAAGAATAATCATCTGACACTGCAGTTTTTAAAACACAAATAAATCAAAAGTTTAATTCCCCAAAATTAGTTATATACTGTAAATATTCTTTTTTTTTAAAGATTTGAAAACTAGTAAAGTCTGAGCATTATATCTACTAGTTCTCTGTGCTGCCTGCATAGAAATGCCATTTAAATTATAAAAACACAACAACCCTATAAACGATTAACTGTTTTGTACATTACCAATTAGTTAATAAATTAATGATATACCATTTTCCCTGAAAGCAAAGTATTTTCCACCTTTGGATGGTGAAAATTAAGAAATTCTGTGTAAGAACAGCATTTAGCAAATAGCTGTTAAAAAAGAGACTAACTCGCTAGGTGGATTGGGACATCCATTTTTAAATCAATACAAAAAATAATTCATTGTAAATATATATAATATATATTTATACATATTTTGAATATATTTACATACATCCAGCACCTATATACTGCATTTGTGCTCTGTAAGTGTGTGCCAACATATATTTTCTCCAAATATTACAAAATAAACAAGAAAGGCAGACCCAGAGTTTGCCTCAAGTCCAACTGGTCCATTGTACAAAGAAAGTCTGTTGCAGCTTACAGGAAGCCAGAGAATTGATAGCAATGGGTATTCTAGACACAGTTCATAAACATTCTTCTTGTTGGGAATGTTCAAAAGTTGTGAATTCTGAGATTCTTTATGTAGGTTTTGAACTGCTTTCCTCCCAAGTTTTGCTTGGGTTTTTTTTTCTCCTTTTTCTTCTTTTTTCCATATTTCATATGTACAAGCATAAACATTAAGGTCCTGGAGAAAAGAATTTGTTTTGTGTATGGTAGGTAGCTTGATGTTCTTGTTTCTTTATTCCTCTGTACGACTTCTTTTCATGTTTTAACACTTCCATTCATGTGTTGGTACTTGGGAAGACAAGGTTCATAAGGCATTGGATCGGGAGAAAAAACAGAGTCATCACCTGAAGAACACGAACTCCTCGTGTCAGGGTAACTAGGTGAATATTGTTCGAGAGGTCCACTCAAGTCCAGATACTCCTATGACAAAAGAAATAAACCACACTTTAGACAGTAAGAGTGACAATAGCATGTTACTGCTGCACTGATTTGGGTTGATCCTCCCATGGGTGAAAGAGAAGTTTAAAGATGACACTCGTTTCTGTAACAACAACTGCATTCAAACCCACCTCTTGCTTAAATATCTCATAAAACAAGAAGCTTGGATAGAGAAAGAAAACCCAAACCAACAACACAGTACTTTTCTGAAGTCCAACATCACCAGCATTAGCTGCGCCACTGGAAATAAGCTTGCTAACCACATCAAAAGAGGACTTTTCACTCGCAATGATAAAAACGTAATTTCATCCTAAATAGAACCATTTTTCTTTAGCACATGGTAATGATTTGGTGAGGGAAGGATACTTCCAACTTTATATTCCTTTGGTCACTTTGAATCTCTGTTTTATATTCTGTGATATTAAATTTGTGTTTAAACATGCAGTGGCATACACGTAAAAAAGAGCTGAAAAAGGAAAATAAATTCACTAGATTTTGGGGTTTTCATATGCGTGTGTGTGTGTGAGTGAGTGTGTCCCAGAGTAGCTATGACCAAAGCAGTCATTAAAAAAGGAAATAATATCTGCTGAATCCAAGTTTTGGGTTAAGGCTTTTTTTGCTAGAAACAACAGTTTTGGCAAGAGAATAAAGTTATTTTTCCCCTTGAAATGTTCCTTCTCTTTCAACTTCTAAAGGCAGCTGCATTCATTTAAATGCAATCTCTTCATTTGCTAAACCGCAAGTTATGATTGCACTGACGAGACAAGTCTTCCACCTCAGTCAGTATTTTATGCTGCTGTGCTTCGGTTTGGGGTAATTTAGTTCTTCAGCTAACATATTTTTTTTAAATCAGAAATTCAATCATTACCATATTATAGTTAAAAAATGCTCACCATTTTAAAAGCAGTGAATGTAAGTTTTAAAATGCCGACAAATACAGTAGCCAGCAAGAGAAGGCAGTTTGGATCTGTGATTACTGCCCACCTTGCCTTTAAAATGTCCACAAGGGCAATCATGACATGTATTTCTTAGGAAACCAGTCCTACATGAACAGAAACAATCAACCATTTTCTAGACAGAAGAAGAAAGTATTCTAGTACCAGAGGAAATTATCCCAATTTCTGAAGAAACAGGGCTTTCTCGTGGGATATCATGCATGGCTTGTCACATCAAAAGACTTGATGCAATTCAGTTATGAATTCAGTATTTAAGGCGGGCTTCTTATCCCCTCTCCATCTTTCTTATCCAATGCCAAGGGCCAGAGCCACATAAAGGGGCATAAGAAGTTCCCAGTATCAAGTTGGTTCCTGGTGTTGATACAATATTCCCTTGAGGTTGACTCTTGGTAACTTCTGCTTTTGGGGCTCTAGGTAACTTTCCATGCTACCCATGGAAACATCAGAAATAGGGTCTTTTGGAAGGGCAAAAAATAAGAAGCAAACAAAAAAAATCCCCAAAAACCACCAATGAAAAAACCCAACAAACGATGACTATGGAGAAGAGCAAGACATTGCCATTTAAGCAGAAGTAATCACTTGCACAAATGCAGAGGAAGATATTATTGGCTGCCCTAAAAAATGAGTTGTTGGGTAAACTAGGCTGACTCTATACCAACAGTGTCATTCCAGGGGGAAAGGAAAAGTGCCACTGTAGAGAGGATAAGCAGAAGTACCATCACACTGAAGCATGATGGACCCGACTCCAGGAAACCTGTGCAGATTACAGGTCTCAAAAGCTACAGAAGAAAATGGGACACACTAGAGCTCTCAGGAGATACTGAGTGAGAACATGACAAGTTTTCAAGAACATAAAACGTGCTGCAAATACAAGTGAAATAATTTGCTTTCTATGTCCAGGGTAAATAGGACACAAAGCAATATTTTATGTTGAAAGATTAGAGATTAGGACAAGCTTTCAGGAAGTAAAGCTAATGAAACAAAGCAATAGATTGTCAAGGGGCAATGCAGAAATACAGCAGTGGAGATCCTTAAGGACAAGTTACATAAACACCTGTCAGGAATGACAAACGTATACTGGATCCTGCCATAGGCTGATCAGATGGACTGGATGTACTGAGCTTTTCCGAGCCTTTTTTCCTGTGGTTCTAGTCTAAAGTAATTGACAGAACCCTAAAGGCCTTTTCAGGTTACCTTTAAGATCCTTCCAGCCCCATGACTTGGGAAGGCAAGATGGTTAAACGCACATAAGAAAGAAAGTAATATCCTTTCCCAGGCTTAGAACTGCAGCCCAGAACCTCCTTCTTCAATTTGCAAGTGCATATCCAGTCCAAGCCACCCAGCATTTTGCAGTGGCAGCCAGCCACCTCCAACAAGTCTTGTGAAATCATGTATAATTTAGGCAGGAAAAGATGCAGTCGGTCTGGATGAGGGGAAAACGGTAATGATATGCAGAGCTGCATTACTGACTCCAAAGGGAGCACACACATTCCTACCCCATCTCTGAACCACTCCTGAAGGTGCCACCGTTTAGAGTAAGCCTTAAAACCAGAATCCAGGCAAATATATAGCTGCTACTGAAGCCAAAGAATCTTTTTCAACTGGATCTGATGAACAAATCATGATCATAAAAAATGGTATCTCTTTACTCAGGTTCTCCTGTCATTGCTGCTGCACACAGACTTTCTTAAAGCTGCATAATAATCCATTTCTTATTTCTCTGACAATTATGAAAAATCAGAACGTAATACATATATGTATATAGAACAATCAAAATCTTTTTTCCCCTACCTTTTTCTCCCTTATAAAGAAGTAATAGCAAATCAGAGAAATTTATTTTGAAACTCTTAAATCAAGTTGTTGCTACTTCCCTAAGTGTGCTCGTCTTCTTCCTCCCATTATACATATCATTTCTTAGAATAATAGGAATTCACAAAACATTTGAGACACCAAGCATTTTCTCTCAAAAGAAGTTTCCACCAAAAGAATCAACATTTCCATCACTTGTGATCTTCCTCAAAGGTGCATGTGCTTTAATGATAAGAGAGACGATTCCTGTGTGAATACCCTAATCAGTGTGTTCCTTGCTAAAACTAATAATATCTCAGACCTCTGAAAGAATGCTCTTCAAATAAAACCTTTCTGCATTCATACATCCCAACCTGAAGCAGTGTTAGGCAGGACCTTTGGATAATTGGATGACTGTTCACATGTTCCCTATGGGTCCTCCTTCCTTCCACAGAGAGCTATTTCAGTGAACCTAATTCACTCTCAGACATATAATCTGAAATCTACCATCAACAGTTTCTCCTTTTCTGACCTAGATATCATGGCTGGGAATCAAACTGGGTTGATAAATGAAAAACACCATGAACTCTACATATCTCCTTCACATGAACCTCATGTTGAAACATATACATTGCCTCTCAACCTGCTGCATGCAGTCCCTTGATACTGCCATGCTAAAAACATCAAAAGATGCAATGAGAAATAAACAAAAACATTTTAAAGATGTGTTTCTGTTTAGTTACATAAATCAAGGCATAATGGCAAGAAACCGAGGATTTCATGCATGTAACCTCAGAGGACAGCGACAAACAGAACAAGAAGAGAACTTGAGCGGGATTTCATAATTGAATAAATTCCATCTGTCTCCTGAAGCATTTGTCATGATCAGCAGCTTATGGAGGGAAACAATTTACCTACCTCATTAGTTGTGAGAGTGAGAATCCGATCCAAGTCTTCTACCAACTGTTTGAAAGTCGGTCTCTGTGAAGGCACAGCATGCCAGCAATCTCTCATCATCATATAGCTGTAAGAAATACACATTTTCTTGGCTTAATTAAAATCACGCGTTTCCTCACAAATCTCTTCAGACACAATGCTCTTCATCACAAGCAAAGCAAGCGAGCACCCACAGCCCTATACACTGACCACTGACTTTGCCAAAACTGTGTGATATTCCCTTCCTTTAAAGGTGTATTTCTACTCCTGAATCTCTTCATCCCCCCCATAATGTCTAAATTGCCTTTTTGTGGACCCATTTCCGTAGCCTTCTTTCCCAGGAATTGCAGTGGTTTTAAATTACTCATCCTTAAATATTTGTGCATGTCAGGGATTGTGGTCTTTGTGAAGTGAAGAAATTAAAATGTGTAAGAAAAAATAAATTAGAAATAGTTAAGGGCTCCACTGAAATATCAGAGTGGGAAAACACCCTCCCCTCCACCACCAGGAGATAATGGTGTGCTAATGCAGAAGTTCCCAGATGTGTTTTTTTGTGTACAAAACCAGCCTGATGTACCTTACATATGATTAGTGGCCATTTAGGCATTTTCATGTTAAAATAAAGCAAATGTGGGTGTAAAAACAGTGATGAAGACAGGATAGTAGATGATCTCTTTTTTCAATGGGATCACAGCAGGGTGTGTAAAGAAGATGCTTAAATCCTCTGTCAAACATTTTCTGAAGACATTTTCATACTTTACGTACCTTACACACATGTATATCTACAATTTTAGAGTCCAGCAATTCTGCTGGGGGTAGCATTAACCATGTGAATTCAGTACACTTTATGCCCTCCAGTCCTGGTATAGAAAATAAGGGTTGCTTACAGTTCATTGGTGCAGTTGGCAGGTTTATCCATTCGGTGCCCTTCTTTAAGCAGCTTAAAAAGTTCCTCCACTGGGATTCCTGGGTAGGGTGATCCTCCTAACGTGAAGATCTCCCACATTAACACACCAAACGACCAACTACAAATCAAAGAGAAAACTGTATTAGTAGATCTGTCTTACTGCTGGAAACAGAGATGTGTCTGTGGCAGATGCAATGGCTGATGGTCCCTCTTAGGAGATGATGAAATCAACATCTGCCCAACTCCGACCACAGTGTTGGAAGGAAGGAAGGAACCTTAAAGCTCATCCAGTTCCAACCCCTGTCACGGGCAGGGGCACCTTCCACTAGAGCAGCTTGCTCCAAGCCCCTGTGTCCAACCTGGTCTTGAACACTGCCAGGGATGGGGCAGCAACAGCTTCTCTGGGCACCCTGTGCCAGCGCCTCAGCACCCTCACAGGGAAGAGCTTCTGCCTAAGAGCTCAGCTCAGCCTCCCCTCTGGCAGGTTCAAGCCATTCCCTTTGCCCTGTCACTATGTCAGCCCATTAACTGGATATATGCCTGGGCAGCATATAGAAATAGTGACTGATGAGCAGAAAGATCAGAAACACACTCTCTGCCTTTGTCAGCTGTGCTCTAAGCACCCAAGCTTCCAGGACTAGTGCAAAGAACCACGTCTTCACAGCTTAATTACTTACAGAGCGCTCACAGCTGAGCTGCATTGCAATGATGTGGCAGGGTATTTTGGAAAAAAAAAAGCAGACTGTTCAAAACAAAAATATTTTGCCTCATTCTGCTCGCCTATTTTTTATTATTAATTGTTGTTAAGAAATGAAAGAGGATCACTTTAAGCCAGTTTTCCTGCCTGCTTGCCACCTCCTCCAGTGCCCAACTCGCTGGCAACCCAAGGCTCTTTGGCAGGCAGCTTTGCCAGGTAAGCTACAGCAACACAGCTTGCACTGGCTCCCCAGCTTCTCTGCAGCTCTCCAGGCTTCGAGCAGTGTATTTTAGCAAACTGTTTGCACAAACTTACAATAATATTATCTTTAGCTTTCTTCAAAGCCACCATGGGGCCAAGAGGCTCCAAGTTCCAACACTGAAACCCATGTGCTGTTGAAGAGCTCAGACTGATTTTCAGTCCTGAACCAGTGAAGCGGTTTACACTTCACATTCACTTAAATATTTTTGCCAAGATGTTGTTTTAAAACAAAAGTGGGCTTCACCCTTAACCTGTGTATACAGTTTCCTTGTAAATACTGAAGAAAAACCTCAGCAAATGCTTTTCTTAAGGAGGGCACAGCTCAAAAAGCGGACCCATGTTAAAGAATGAGGAGATACCCCTTATTTTCTCCACCCTGCCCTTTTCCCCTTTAACCCTGCACTGACATGCATAACCTTTTAAAGCAGTGCTGGGAAACATCCAGCCCTTTACAGTTAACAGCTTCTCTTGGAGAAATAAAAACCATGAGATAGATCTTCATCTGCACTGCATAAAAATACACATCTACTTCAAGCACAGTGCACATGAGTACTGTAGATGGGCTTAGGAAACAGTAATAGGAAGCAGAATAAATCCTGAGCAGTCGGGTTGCATCAGCCAGTGACTTTTGTGCACACATTAAAAGATGTGAAGTGTCGGAGTCCAGTGACTTCTGCTACATGGGAAGCACCAACACTTCTGACATTCGGAGGGAACTTTCCCACTATATCCAGCCTACGTTTTATTGTACCTAAACTTAGCACAACTTTATAAGAACTTTTGCTTTCTTTCTTTCCCTCTCCTGTTTTTTAACCTGAAGGAAGTCCAGAGTATGTCAAAAGCCAAGCAAATTAGATAGACTCTTTGTAGCTGCACATCCGTAAATAAGTTCAAGGGGGGAAACTTCCGCACTGACAGAAGGAGGTTAGCATTTTCCACCTTTCATGTGCTTTGAAGCTGGGCAGATTAGTAACAGAGCACTGGTTAGCAGTCTACCATAAAATCCTCACTTTCTAAGGGCAAGTCCTGCTCCATCTATTAATACGTGAAACAGAATGAAAACTCTTAAAGGTAAAAGACAACAGCAAAATACACTGAAAATACCCCAAACTTTCACAAAGGCACAACAAAACAACCCTCCCTCCGCCCCTCAAAACCCCACTCAAATAAGGCCACTTACACATCACTTTGATGCGTGTAAACTCTGTCAAACAGAGCTTCTGGAGCCATCCACTTTACTGGAAGCCGTCCCTGTAAGTCGGGAGGGGAAGGGAAGTTAAACCAGCAGCAATTTACAGGATGATTTCAGCCCTGATTTTTCTAAAAGATGAATCAGTTCTTAGAGAACAGTCTGCTAATGCAAACCAGCATAGAATTTAACTTAGAATTTTAAGGGAGAAAAAGGAAAATGGGCTAAAATAAAGAGAGCATGAAGAAAAATGGATAGAATCATGGAAGATAAAATTAAGAGCACTGAGGGCTCTCCAAAAAGTTCCCAGATTGCTTGCTGGGAGAACAATACAAGAAGCAGCTCTTTAAAGACAAAAAACCCCAATAAATAACCCTCTGAAAAATAGGCCTGCCTGCAAAAATAAGGTTTTTAATAAGAATTTGGGGATTATGTTCTACCTTTTGCAGTGACCCAAAACTCAGTCAGAACTGCCTGTTGCTTTGCATAGAGACAGCTCTGCTCAGAGCCCAGGAGCCGCACTACATTTGATATGAAGAAGGTTCAACTCCTTCCAGTACTGATGTACCCACACCTGATTGCTCCGTCTTTTGGAAGCAGGCAGATATTATCATTTTAATGCTATTAATTACTTGGTACTTTATTTTATAAGCCCTTATACATGACTGTTAATAAATATTTATACAAAATATAAAAGCCTGTAGAACTGCAAAGTTCCCATCAAAACCCAAGTGTAGCTCATCAATCTTAAGAGATCCCCTAGGAAGGAGGTGTAAGCTGTTCAAACTAAGCATCAGTAACTACCTCCGAAACAATCTATCTTCTTGATTTGGTACAAGTTAAACAGCAAAATGGTGACAGAGCAGGGAGTAAAAACCTGTTTTCTCAATTTATATCCCCAATTTGATACTACCCTCATAACTTGTACAATAACATAACAAATACAGGCAAAAAGCATAAAGCATTTTGCATAATGCAGCATTATAACACCTAAACAGGACTTGTGTTAGGGTGATTTCTAGCACTGTTCATGCAGTCCTTGTCAGGATTCTCCACTTGGTACAAAATATGCTGGAGCAAACAGGAACATTTCCACTATTTCAACTGACTGGAGTCTGGGACACACAAAAAGCAATTCCTGTATTTCAGATTTTCTAATAAATCATACAGTATACAGCTTCTTTGGTTATCTTTTAACTAACTGCCATGGTAAGAGAGGACAGAAACATTTATGTCCTTGATCCCTGTTTTCTGTCTGAGATGAAAAGTGAGGCAGCTGTACAAGAAGCCCATTAAGCTTACAACCACAGTTTTTAAGTGAAACATTGAAAGAAACACTTGTTTTCAGAGATAAGAGAACCATCCACTTACATTAGTAGTCTTTTTATAATAATCTATATTGTTGATGTCTCTGGCTAAACCAAAGTCTGCTATTTTCATGACATTATTTTCAGTCACCAAAACATTTCTTGCAGCCAAGTCTCGATGGATACACTGGAAAGAAAAGGGAAATAAAAAAAGACACACTGAAATAAACTGTTGTAAAAGTTAAATTACTTCCACACTGTAAGTAAGTCTCCTTCACAGATTTTAACCCAAATCACATTTACTAAAAGCCCGTGAAATAAGGTTGTCTTTCTTACTGTAGTCCATCCTCTCATGTGATGTTTCCAAGTTGAACACCAACCCTAAGAAGCCTCTTAGAAAAGCCTGGTTTATTTAAGACTTGTGTTTTGCTAAGGCTGAAAGCCTGGGTGGTGACACAAACCATGCCAGGCTGTTTGTGATTCACTCTGCATTACATGTGCCCAGGTACAGGTATTGCACCACTTTCATTACAGATACTATAAATGAGCGTTATATTGCTTCTCTTAAACTATATCATCTCACAAGAGCTAAAACCTGACAGTCTGGAGCAATGAAACCATTTTTAATATAGAAGACCTTAATATGAAGTATAACCACAGTATATAACTTTAAAATAGATGTCTAGAGTGTGTGAATTTACTTCAAACCTAAGACTATAACAATTTAGTTATGAAAAGGAAAGAAAAAGCCCAAAACAGTCTAGGTTTGGCTGTTTGCTTATAGAACATTTAGTTTCAGTATCCAAGCTCTCTCCTTAAAGACTTTTCCTTCATGTCAGCATTATCCTGAAAACTCGTAACTGATTCTTGACACTGAAATTACATTGTGATTGCTCTGGATATTACTCCTGTGTTTAAGTAGCATTATTAGGGTTCATACAAGACGGCATGGTAAGAAACATCGCATTTGCATCCCCCCCAGGATATTCTATTTCTTTTCAAGTTAAATATCCTTCCCCCATCATTTTGGATTACCCTTTATGTTGTACTCTTTATTTCAGCACATGCATAGACATGCTGGACTGAACCACTACAAAAATTATACCGGAGCCAACTTCTTTCTTGCGTTATAACCTGTCTCAGCAATTTGCTGAGATCTCTTATCCTGCATGGGTAAAATGAAGTTTCTGCTCCTCACTGGGTTAGCCATGGGGAACTGCCAAGAAAAACTTGCTCCAGCAATGCCTCTATGTGCACAGGACCAGACAACAGTGCACGCTTTCAGCATCAAATCAGTCTTGTAATTCACCATCAGCAAAATCTACATAGGCCGGCCTTCCTACTTCCCTGTCCTTATACATGTAAGAACACCCTCTGAGCTCAAAGCAGTCAACCAACTACAAGTTCATAATGTCATCTGAGGTACCCTAGGATATCTAGGGTATCTGGATGAGACTACCAGGGATGACACAGGATCTGCAGCAGACCCAAGCCTTTCCAGAACAGAAGGCTGGGGGTACCGCAGAGCATCTGAAATGAATTGTGACAACAAGTGAGTCGAATCCTGGCACCTTCTGTCAGTGTACTTCTCATATCCTGCATTTTTGCAACTAATGCTCTTCCTATCTTCTAAATGGTCCCCCTGTTGATTTCCATATAGAATAGTCAGGGTTGGAAAGGACCTTAAGATCATCTAGTTCCAACCCCCCCTGCCATGGGCAGGGACACCTCACACTAAACCATCTCACCCAAGGCTCTGTCCAACCTCGCCTTGAACACTGGCAGGGATGGAGCATTCAGAACTCCCCTGGGCAACCCATTCCAGTGCCTCATCACCCTAACAGGAAAGAATTTCTTCCTTATATCCAATCTAAACTTCACCTGTTTAAGTTTGAACCCGTTACCCCTTGTCCTATCACTACAGTCCCTAATGAAGAGTCCCTCCCCAGCATCCCTATAGGCCCCCTTCAGATACTGGAAGGCTGCTATGAAGTCTCCACACAGCCTTCTCTTCTCCAGGCTGAACAGCCCCAACTTTCTCAGCCTATCTTCATACAGGAGGTGCTCCAGTCCCTGATCATCCTCGTGGCCTCCTCTGGACTTGTTTCCCAGCTGACCTCTGGCCCTAACAATTTGCTGTCTCTGCAATAAACTGGGCCAGTCCCTGTTCCTGGATCTCCCCCATGGTGCTTCATGCTACTGGAAGGTTAGAGAGGGCATGCCAAGAGCTCTAAAAAGCATCCAACCAACTTTGGAAATGGGATATTGTTTCTAAGTACAATTGCTTGCAAGGCAAAAACTTTACGTAAGGCAAAAAGTAGGTGCCCAAACATCATCTTTATTTCTCTCTTTTGAGTCTCAGTGAGCTATTTATTGGACTGAAATAACAAGAACACTGGCCTTCTCACAGCTCCTGCGTGATGGAAATACTGTGAGAAGACCAGTTCTTATTATTTCAGTTCCCTAAGGGGAAAAGAACTAGTGAAATACAAACAGAAGTGGTGGGATAGCTGAAGAACCAGAATGCACAGCTTAGTATGTGCTGCCTTTGTTTGTCCTCTGCCTTGTGCAATGCCTCACACTCTGTCAAGTTCGGCCCAGTGCTGACCAAGTGCTTTTGCAAAGGGCCAGCATCAAGGATGAAATGGTCTGCCCTGTGCATCTCTGTGAGCTCACCCCTTCTTGGTAGTGTTCTACAACAGCACTTCAGAGCTTCTCAGGTGAATGCTTGTGCTCAGGATTTGATAATCAAAAGATTTCCTTTTCCCTTCACAACAGTTCTATTTTCTTGGGATATGGCTCATTGCCAGGAAAATGGGATACCCTGAGGCGCTTTACAAAACACAGTACTTACACTGACTCCCTTAGATATCTGTCCTGGTGTCAGGCATGTTGCCCTGACTACCCTACTATGCTGAGAATTACTGTTTCAAAATTAAAGAATAGAAGCAAAATTAGACCTAGATTACACACACACAACCTCTACAAGTGCACAAAAGCAGTAAAATCATGACTCCACACAACAGGAATGGAGGGTTACACTCAGCTCTGGTCTTTGGTTAAAAACAGCTCCACACTTGGGAGTGAACATGACTGGAAATTAGTATAAATCCCACTAACCACTCCACACCTTGCAGGAAGTATATATCATCAATATCGGGTGCTCTGGTTTAGCCACTAGGTCCGAACACCATGCAGGGTATTCATGATTGCTTGTCCACCAAGCCACAGTATGTTTACAGTTAGTTATACAGGGATATTTAAGGTTTCATAACTATAATTTAATCAAATTACTGGTTAAAAAGAAAAGTTGAAGAAATAAATGTCTAGGGACACGACAGGATAAATGAATTCTTTCAATAAGCTTGCTCTCCTGACAAACACCAGTTTTAAGTAAAGTGCATAATTTAAGTGACTAATTCACTCCATTTATTTTTGCCTCTTCTGTTCATTTCTGCCCCGGCATCTTGTGGTCTTCTTAACTCTGCCTATTATCATTCTGCAAACCCTCCAAGTAACTGGACTCGTTTATTTCACATCACTATATGAACTGATTTGGTCGATCTGACTGGAAACAAAAGCCAAATGGTGCCTGCTGCCCCATGGGTGGAATAATGTGACTTGTGTAATCAAGTGACCACCTGTGCTTACGAATTCAAACAGCAGATATGTACACAGTATTTACTTTAAGTGATCCATTCTGCGCCTCATTTTAGCAATACTGTTAAGCAGTGATTAAAAACTTCAAGTGTATGAATTTTCCCATTGCCCTCCAAGAGCATGGATTGTGCAACTCATTTTAGAAGGGCTCTTTTCCCAATAAATTCTTGAACATAAACGAGATGAGAACAAAACCGAACTCAGAAAGTGTCCAACAAGCACACACATCACACACTGTGTGTAGTATTTGCTGAGTTCTACCTACTTTTTGTGAAGCCAGGTACTCCATGCCTCTTGCCAACTGGTAGGTGCATGACACTAAGTCCTTGAATGTCATCTGCTCTTCTGGTACCCTGTTAATATCAAACGAATACTCCATCCCTGGGGGGCGGCGTGCTCGCAGGTACTCACGCAGGTTTCCTTTGGAAGCATATTCTACTATCACATACAGTGGACCTTTGGATAAACAGAAGCGTGTGAAAACCAGAGTAAGGTCAAAGGGTAAAGTGTTTTTATGTGAAGAAGCTTTTAGTGTTCTATAATGAATGAACTGAACCAATAAATGTTTAACTGAGAAACCAGTAAGGACAACTTGAAACAAAAGGAGGTCTAGACCTGGCCAAATCACTGGCCCAAAGCTCCATAGCAGGATAGCAGCAGAGCTACAATTAGTGTCTGAAAGTACCCAAACCCTGAGCTAGTGACTGTTCCTTTCCAGACCATGCCATGTACTGAACAGCAAGCACTTTCAATCAGAAAATGCTGTGAGATCTCAAACAAAGGGAAAGTGCTTAAGATATTTTTTAATTCCCAGAGATTTATGCCATTCTGCATCACTTTACGTGACATAATTAGCTTTTAATAAAAACACTGTGGTCTTCAGAGAGAAAAAATGCTCATTTCAGATTAATGGGATACAAGTTCCACTAAAGCAGGGCTGACAATTCAGAACAACAGGCATGGGTAAAGCCCCTCTAAAATGTCATTTTTTCCCCTGCAGCAAGGGATTAGAGAGTTTTCATTTGATATAGTACCCTTTCTCATATTAAAGCTGCAAGTATAATGAGAGACAGGAGTTAAAATATTGCTGCTAAGCTAAGGAAATATCTAAAAATCCCATCACGGCATGACTGCTTCCTTAAAAAACTCTTGAAAAATTATGATTAATGAGACTTTTGCAGGCCTGTTGGAAAGTCCTGCTTTACTTTCTTTTCTCTACTCACCATCCTGGGTACAGGCTCCAAGGAGATTGATGATGTTTTTATGCTTCCCAATCATCTTCATCATCTCCATCTCTGACACCAGGTCAGACAGATCTTTTTCTGTAGCATCATCTGTACAAGACACAGGTTCAGTTTGTATTTTCTAAGCATGCCACCCCGAACTTCACAAAGGCTCACCAGTTGGTGTAAAATGTGTGCTTCTGAATGAAGAATACAGGATTTGTTTTCCTGTATAAACTGTATGTTATGTAAAGACATATGTTATGTCTTAACAAAAATAATCTCAGTCGCTGATAAACTGACCAATTCTTCAATGGTGTATGTTAAGAGGCAGCAGTAATATCAGACATGAAAACGCTGTCCTTAGCTATCAAGCCTTCAATAACTATGCCTTTCCTGCAAACTAACCTTATAATTAAATGCAAAATAAATAGGCACCAACCACCTGGACTGAATGGGCTGGGATACACATATTGACAGCCTCTGACATGAACTAAACTAAAAGCAGAGAGACCCACACGATGCTAATATATCTCCTGCCTCCTAAATACTCACTGCTCAAGATAAACAGGCTGTCAAGGCACAGATTTACACCCCAAACTGCTGAAGGCTGGGGTCAGCTATGTGCTCTTTGACCCCCCCATGATGACAGAGTTCAGATGCCACAAAAGAAACTTTTCGTGGATGAAGACTGCCATATCGCCCATTCTGATCCCTAATCACCCAATTTTCTTACCTTTCAACATCTTGACTGCCACAGTCACCGCTTCTTTAGGCCTGTCTTTGTCAATCCCCACCGCTTCGGCCATGACGACTTGCCCAAAGCAACCTTCTCCCAGGGGTTTACCCAGCGTCAGCCTAGAGGTGCAAACAGGAGATTAACACTCAGCATCTGGTGAAGGGATGCAGCCAGTGAAATTCCAGGGCTAAATATAAAAAGCTTCCAGCATCTTGCTGTAGCACGAAGCATTTATCATATGGAACTAATGAGACTCTGTGCATGCATCAGTTTTCACGTGCACCGCAGTATGTTTTCTTAGGGATGGGATAGCGAGCGTCTCAGAAGGGCAGATCAGTTGCTAAGCCCAACCTTTAAGCTCTCCCTCTCCTTGTACTAAGAGGCTGTAGCAAGGAGACACAGCATGGAGGGTCAGAGCTTTCAGAGGGCAGCAATCAACACATGAGCTTTTCCTATCCTTGTAATATGGCCAGTCATCTTCTTTTTCACACTGATCACAAGGAGATGAAAGAAGTTTCTTTGCATGTGTTGCCATGTGGTCTCTTTTGGGCAGCTGATGATTTGTATGGCAAAGGGTGGTATTAAAATCCGCGGGATGTTTTACGTATGAACTACTGTGATATGGTGGCACTGCGCAAACAGAAAGTAAAATCAAATATGTTTTCGGGCAGCATAACTTTAGCTCAAAATTCATTCTTGCTTTTTGTCTGGGGATGCAGGCTGTGAAGATTTGCCTAATGAAGTCTTGCACTGGAGGAATCAGCCAAAACAGACCAGACAGCAGGTCTGGGGGTGATTATCAAACTCATTTCTCTGTTGTATGGCTGAAAAGATGGCCATCCAGATGCCTTCTTGAGGGAGAGAAGATGAGGGCAAGAGAAAGGAGGTGGGTGGCAGTCAATGCAGAGAAAAGCTCCTAAAAATAATTGAATGCCCAATGCTTTGAAATGTAATTCACTTTGGAGTACGATGTCTCAGGGGTCTTGACGCCTTCCTTAGAGCAAAGGCAATTAACTGCTTTGAAAAAGGAGGTGTATCTTCCATAAGGCTCTTGCTCCCAGTGGCTGGTGGCAAGCATGCAGCAAAGGCTCAGGAGGGGTTACTGCTGTGAGGGACTGGGCAACAGCTCCAGTGATACTGATGCTCTTGTGCCTTGAAGAGCTGGCAGGAGCTGCCACGGCCACCAGCTCTGCTCTCTGTTGCAAGTTCCACCATGCATAAAGAGGCAATGCTCTCCCTGCACGGCACTACCTCCATGGGACAAAACACTTGGCACATCCGAGCATCCCCTACAAGCTGTCTTCTTTACAGCCACCCCAGCAAGATCCAACATCCTCACGCATTCCCTTTGATCCTTTAAGGGGCAAGAGAGGATGCTTTATTTACCCACAGCTGGGTCTAGCATAGAGGCTGTTTCTTGGCTGCAGGCTCTTTGCTACCACAAGTGTCATGCAGGAGGGTAACAGAAGATGCCTCCTGCCTGCAAGCACCTGGGGCCCGCTCAGAAAGCAGGAAGCAGAGACTGGAAGAAACTGAAACTCTGTTATAATCATGGTATCCACATCAGAAACCTTTTAAAAGGAGCAGTTATTAAGCATGCTGTGCAAAGTGTATTTTGCAGAGCATATACCTGCTTGCAAATCCTACTCAGCTGTAACAGACATAGAGATGTCAATCTCAGATTTATGAAGATAGAAAGAATTAAAAAGAAACTTTAAAGCCTCTGAGCAAAATCTTTTTTGCTCCAGCCTAAATGCTTAAGGGCCAGATTTGGGCTCCTTTACTTGCAGAAAATATCATCTAACAACCAGAAGCAGTGCCGTAGCAGAAATGCAGGAGGGTGGTCGATGAGTTTGATGCTGCTAATGTTATCCGGAGGAGGGGGCAGACTCAGATAAGCATTTTCATAACCAAGTTCTTCAGGACTGGTTTTTTATGGTCAAAAGCAAGATTCACAGATACAGTATATGTAGGGACTCATTCTTAAAGCATGGACTTCTGTCTTCCCCAGTGAAATACAGGGAGACATTGTCATATCATCCACAGGGGAGCGTTAAACCAAGGCTCAGTGGTTTGAAAACCCTGCTTATCTACTTGGGCACAAGTCAGAAGTGAGAGGCGCCTCCTCCGGAGGGCAGCCCCGCTGACTCCTTGTCAGATGCGGTCTTTGCCTCGGTTAGAATTCCTCGAGCTGTTTTGGATCGGTTTCTAAAGCAAATGCGAGTTTTAAAAGGTGCAAAGACTGAAGGGCAGCGTTATGCTATGCTGAGGTCACTCCAGAACTAAAATTGAATTTAGGCTCTTGGCAGAGAACAAACATTTGCATTGGAAACTGGTTAATTTATGTGCTATTGCCCTGCTAGGACTAAAGTAACAAACCCCTCATTGTGTGCCTCCTGCCCCCCAACCTAATAAACTGCCTCTAAATAGCCTCCTTTCATTGCCAATCTGCTCCACCACCATTTGTGCTGAATGCTGGTTTGAAATGTTTAGCACTCTAAGTTTTTCCGCATTTAGTGTATCCCCACAGGGCCCGGGCTGACAGAAGCACATATACAGGCCCCCACTGTTGACTAGAATCCTGCAGGTGGCAATTACGGCATTTTGCACTGCTTTGCAGCTACATCATTAAAATGATTTCCAGAACAGTTGTCAGAAGGTTCAGAATTACAGCTCTGCCATCCAAAAGGTACAACCCTGAACTTTCAAAGAGAACTGCTCGTGATAAAAGGGGTTATTTTCTCAAAGCCACCTAAAGACTTCTTCAAGCTAGTATTAACATTAATATATAATCATGGTTCTACCTCTCTTTTACATGTCTTCTTTATATTAAAAAATACGGTTACATCTTTAATTAGATTATTCAGAAGCTCATTTTGCATGTTAGTCAACAGACTTTGAAGAAAACATTATGGAGCCACACAAATTTGCATATATCAAAATTCAGCACGCTCTGCTTGAAACCTAATACTTTTAAGCCACAGAAGTTATACATATATGCATACAATATGCAAAATGTGCCCCTAAATCAAAAATCACCATCTCCATTAATATGAAATCAAAACAAATCCTACCCAGAGTCTTGACAGAAAAAGGCTGTCTAATACCATATTCTAGACGTTATCTCGTACATGATATTGTATTACCTGCTCTATAAATATTAACTGGAGTAATAACTGAAGAACATGGTTTAATGTACAGAGGTATTGCTGGAGGAAATCTTGACTGTCCTTCACCAATGCTTGTATGCGGCTACTTCTCCCAGTCTAGACCATATATATTTTGAGATAACATTTGAGGTTCACTCTTTTCCTGATAGAGGAGATGCATTTAGCAGAATATCTGAAAACTCACAAGAAACCTGAAAATAAAACCAGAACAACAGGCAGAGAAAATCTAGTTTCTATTTAAACAAACTGACTTCAGATAATGGAACTGCACCTTGATCTTCAGGAGATTTGGGTAATTGAGATTTCCCAGGGTTTCTTGAGTTAAAAGGACACATTACAAATCATGCTCTTCAGATGTGCATAGGCACTGCGAAAGGAAACAGACTACGTACTTATCTCTTGGAAACTCCCATTTTGGGTCTTCTGGCAATTCATATTCCGAGACTCCTGCCAGCATGGGGGCATCGGCAGTTGAGGAGAGGCGAGTGGTTATCCTCACCAGAGGCGTGTTGGAATTCATGGAGGAGCTCGAGTCGGCTGACACCTATTGTTGTAATACAAGATGCAAAAAAGAAAGGCAGAGATGTAATTCTGACCCAAAATCTGGAACCCGGCAGCACCTGATAACCAAGCCAGCTCAGAACAGTGGTATTGGGAAGTGAACCTACAGTCCTGTTTCTAGTGCACGATTCTCAGGTATTTTCCCCTCCCTGTAAGCACAACATTAACTCTAATTGCTGCCAAGGCTGTGTCTGCCCCATAGGTCAAAAACCATGTAAGTTTTAAATGCATTCACTCTGAAGACAATTTTACTATTTTATTTTTTTTGTGTTAATAGCAAATTCAAGTTTTGGATTTTTGATTAAAAACATTATTTTTTTGCAAAGGCTCCTATATTTTTCATCAGAGAAGGGCAGCAAAGCTGGTGAAGAGCCTGGAGCACAAGTGTTATGAGAAATGGCTGAGGAACCTGGAGTTGGTTTACCTGGAGAAAAGGAGGGTCAGAAGGGACCTTAATGCTCTCTACAACTACCTGAAAGGAGGTTGTAGCAAGGTGGGTGTTGAATTTGTTCCAGTTAGCAAGTGATAGGACAAGAAGAAAAAAACCCTCAAGTTGCATTAGGGAAGGGTTGAATTGGATATTAGGAAAAACATCTGCACCAAAAGGGTTATCAAAAGCATTGGAACAGGCTGCCAGGGCAGCGGTGGAGCTACCAGGCCTGGAGGTCTCTACAAGGAATGCAGATGTGGTGCTTGGGGACATGATTTAACAGTGGACTTGGGAGCGCTGGGTTTATGTTTGGACTCACGGACCTCAGAGGTCTTTTCCAACCTAAATGATTCTACGATTCCATATTTTTTAAGCGTTCAATATCAAAAGCATGAAAAAGCTATCACAATAATTGGGGGATACTCAAGTTTTCAGTTAACTACATTCTTAATTAAAGATTCTGCAGGCAATGTGGAGAAGAGGTCCTAAAAATAACTTAATGTCCAATGCTTTGAAATGTAATTCACTTTGGAGTATGATTTCTCATGGGTCTCAACATTCTCCTTAGAGCAAAGACACTTAATGATAACTGCTTTGAAAAAGGAGGCAGCTCTTCCATGTAACAAAACTTGTTTTGGTGTGAATCTTCCATAAGGTTCTTCCCCCAAACCTGCAAGCAGCAACCTGCTGTCTCCTGACCTCAGAGTTTCATGTGAACATGAGGACGAAACAAAAATGCTTGTATTGACAGTCTTCTCCTTTAAGTGTGAATCGTCCTTCTCTCTTCAGGCCATGAAAGGCTTGGTCAAGCCCGAATCTGGTGGTCAAAGCAGGATGCAGGCTCTTTCACAGTGCCATTGCTGGTATCATCCTCACATCAGGTGGCAGGAGGTGCTTCTCAGCCAGCATTGCTGGGACCCTGCCCAAGCTGAAAGCCTAGAGGATCAGAACAACTACCACTGTTGACCTTTATCCCCTTCGCCTGGAGTCAGCTTTGACACCAGGTTTGCTCATGTAATACCCAGGGTTGCTTATGTAAAATGTCACCAGGTTACAATTTTGTTCCACAGATCTTATAACTAGATGAAGCAATTATAAGCAAATAGATCCTAACAGCATTAAAGTGAAAATCAGTGACGCAGTGATGTGAACACAAAATCCTCTTGTCTCCATGTCACCTGAGAAGTCCATATTACTGCTTCCTTATATTAAGCTCAAGTAGCAATTACAGCATCTCAGCCCACGGAATTACTCAAGCTCCTCAGAATGGGGCTGGAAGGCTTTTTCAAGTCATGCTCTTACACAACGTATTTTGACAAGACAGGGCTAATGCTCTTAAACAGATTTCTCTTCATAACTCTTGACCACTTGTTTTAAGAGGTCTTTTTGCAGGAAGATATCCTCAAACCCATCTCATCAAATGGTTTTGGCGTCTTGACACCTTTTTCTAGGACTAGAGATGAAGACTGGAAAGAGGTTTCATAAGGAAAAAGTGTTAAGGATTGCTATAAAAAAAAACAGCCTTGGTAACCAGTTTTGCAGCTGACAGACCTTTCTTAATATCAGGAGCTCCAGTTTCTGTATGCAAGACACTAAGGTGTCTATGGAACAAGAGAGTATAACTGCACAAATTAGGGTACCATTCAAAGGAAAGCTGGACCCCACTCATTCCTTCCACCATCTTCAATCTTAATATTTATTTTGGTAAACCTAAGTACCTGGCACATTTCTTTGGAATAATAGATACGGGGACCACTTGGGATACAAACAGAAAACTACTCTTAAGGCAGACTACATAGCTCTAAACAAATCAGTAAATGAATACTGAGCAGAGTCCAAGAGAGAGATGTTGGCATACCGAGTCTACAGAGGGGAACACATCTGCTGGAGCATTATGGCAAGCCAGCATATGAACCAGGGCTGGAATCAGACTCTTGCTTGTATTTCTGCTCATTTTCATTATGATTTAAAAATGATGCTTTATGAAATGAACCAGCTCAGCACTACGAGATGTGCAAATATCCACAAACAATATGGCAACTCCTCTGTCCCCAAGGAGTTCCCCTAAATTTCATTTTCCCGTTGTTTCTGGATTCCATTTTTACCATCTCTCACTACAAACTTACTAATACTCTATGATCACTTCCCCCACATTTCCAAAATCCACCCATTATTTCCCATCCATTCTACCAAGACCTTTATGCGAGTCTTGATTCACCTGTATTTATTAACATTGCTTTTATTTCCTTGCCTTTCTTTGTCATTATAGCCATTGTTTTCATGGGACATCAGGCAGGCATGGAAGTGAAACTGCCAAATTTAGATACCCCTTATGTATCAGAAATGGCCCAGAACATTCTGGGGTCTTTTTCTTCATGAATGCAATATTTGTATTAGATGCTGTTCAGATCTCTGCCTGAGTTTCATCTTTTCCCTAGCTCTTACCCTACAATTCAGGAGTCTTAGCACGGTTAAAACCTATAAATGTAAACCTGCAATAAACAGAAAAACTCTGGTGATGCATTTTAAACACAGAAGTTAAATAGTAGTAATGTATAAAAAAAAACAGATGAAGGACTTTGCCAGTTTCCCTTTTAACCCTATTGCACGTTTACTTCACACAATAACTGGATGACTGGCCAGAGATCCTGTAGGCAACCAGAGTGCATTAATGTGGATAGGAATGATGAGAAATCCAGAGGAACTGCTTACTCACTGTCTGGGCGAAGAAAAATGGACTGTACTCCCAGGGAATATTCTTCTGATTGACTAACTGGAGCAGTACGAGGAGTTACAGGAGCTCAAGGGCTATAAAAATCTGCTCCAGAAAAGATGAAGCCAGTCCAGGCTGGCCTGTGATTGGAGATTTTCTGTTTCAAAATGGTCTTACAACTTTTATGCAGTTGTCAAGAATTAACCTTTGAACTCATCCCTTAAGCAACTTCATTTGTTGCCTTACAGTGCACTATCAAACAATAAGTAAAACCCCACCTACTCCAAGGTCAGTTGACAGGGTCAACTTCAATGCATACATTTAAGTAAGAGCATATATAGAAAACCTTTTTCTACCTTGCTCCTTACAGCACTGCTCTCCAACCTCCTACCATGCAGGCTCAAGAACCAGTGACACTCTTGACATGAGCCCTACATTTCAGCATGTGATGTTGCCTTCAAGTATGTGGATGCTCTTTTTGCTTTCAATTATGCAAAGACTCAAGGTACATTGGACACAGGCCTAATGGAAGCCATAGTGAGTATTTGCTTCAAGACTGTAGCTGTACATGGCCAATATACAAACTTCAGGGCCACTTTGGGGTCTATCAGGTGCCAAGAAGCAGTCACCCAGCTCACCACCTTTATCTGTTCTCAGAGATAAAGGAACAAAGCCAAGCCAGAGCAGAGAAGCAATGAGGGACATCTGATAGAGGTGAATTAGACTTCTTCAAGGTCTACCCAGTGTGCTGGTGACACCTGTTTAAGTGATAACACTACACTAAGAAACTATTTTGAGTGCTCAATTAAAGCAAGGCAGAAGTCAGCACGACTTAAGCAAACACTGAACAGGACCTAAACCTCAACAGAAAGGTAGATCTCTACCACAAAATCTTCTTTGCGTGCTTCCTTTCTGCTTTTAAGAGGCCAGAACCAAGAAAAGTACCAGCCCAAGACAGGACTTCAGGCCCAGATCTGCACTTCAGAAAGAAAAAAAGCCCGCTGTGTCCAAACATCAGGCACCAATACATGATTATATCCCCAATGTATTTTTCCTTTGGCCATCACACTGTATTTAATCAGCTCTAAGTTAATGCTTTACAAGCATTTCTAAGCAGTGGAGCATTTAAAACAAACAAATCTTTGCTGGAATCTTTAAATGCCATGTGGCAAAATCAGCTGCAGAGCACTGTGTAATTGTCTGTAATTGATTATGAAGGGTGTTTTCCTCCACTGATGATTTATACCATGTCCCGAAGCCTAGATCTGTCAGTTCTGGCACTCATGCTGTGAGATTTTAGCAGCCATGCAGTGATTTCCTATAATTGTCAGTCTTTCTGAAGGCTCTGCTATAAAAGTTAATTTGAAATCATATGCATATATGTATATAAATATAATTAGTAAGTAACGCTATTAGCTGTTGGTGGAATCAGTCTACCTAAGTGACTGGATCTAGGAAAATAGAAGGTTAAATGCACTACACAAAACAGGATTCCTAGTGTTAGGTACTGACATTTTAAAGCACACATAATCACCCCTTCATGAAAAGCAGTCCTTTTGAAACACTTATAACAACATACAACTACAACAACATAACAAATGAGTACTACTGTCAATGGTTTCCATACAGAGAAATCTAAGGATAAAGCAAGAAACTAAAATATGTATTAAGGTAAAGTCCTTTCTACCTATCCTACTGACAATTGTGTATTAATCTTTGTAGTTCAGAATCTAGTCTTTAAAATGAATGACATTTGTACAGCTCAATACTATGTTAAATAACATGTTACTTTACTTGTTCCACATCACTTTTCTTTTTTACAGGTTCTAGCTGATATCATCACTTTGAATTAGCTATTTTCTGGGTGAGCTTAAATCTTACTTTAAACCAATCAGTCTTTGTTCATCACAAAGGCACTCACTATATCTTTATGAAGGCTTAGACTTGACAACGACAGTAGATATAAATTAATGGGAACGTATTTAAAAGACTGAGCATAAGAAATCATTCCTCCCTGTTTAAAACATATATGTGCACCCAAGTCAAGGGGTCCATATTTGACAGATTAATTGTGATAGCAATAATGAAATGCTGTAGTGATGACACACACTCGTACTTGACTTTGACTGGGCAAGTCACCAGAGACTGTCTTTTTGTCTTTTTCAATTAAACTTATTTGAGAAGAGAAAAAATAAGTTATACAAAATAGATGTATATCCTACTAAAGGCTACTCTGTACCTTTTTGGTTCAGTGACCCTGTCTCCTGAAGCCTATACTGCAAATCAGCTTGTGATGTTCAATCCCACAAATACTCCTTCCCCCTCCATCTCAAGCTGTACTTCAATAGAGAACATTGCTAATACCAACAGAGCAGTGCACATCTCTGCTTTGATATAAAAAGGAGGAACTGTTTGCTGGATTTCCCTGTAAGCAGTTTCTATTTCGAAAACCAAGTACCAGATCTAGGGAGGCTGAGGTTTGTAGGGGGAGGAGACTGATAAACCCTGACTTCATCATGACTGCTCCTATAAACGTGAAAAGAACTGCATTTTGGCAGGGAAAAAAAAATGCCTGCATGTGGGGAATGATAGAATCCTGTAGTAGCTCAGACAAAATAGTGTGTGAGAATCTAGTCCTGCAAACCAAACCATATGTTACTCAGCAAGACTCTTCTCCTGCTTAGACAAGATGGCATCACAGTCATGCAAATGCCTCTTTGTGAACCAGGATTATTTTCATATTGAAATCTTTAGGGAGCTTGACCCAGCAGCAGAATGCTTTGAAAACAATATCAAGAATTACCCAATCTATGGCCTCATTTCTCTGGAATTCCAACAAAACCCATCAGCCAGCCCCAGATCGCTGCCCAGCTCACAGTCTACCTGCCACGAGCATCTCCCCCATCCTCTCAACGACTCAGCCACTTTCTCTATTCCTCACACACACAGCACAAAGGCAAGGGAGAACCTTCTGTGACCAAGAGATAAATAAAGGTTCAGTGACAAAACCTCAGCAGGCTCTAAATACAGACCTCTGAAATGCAAATAAACCAAAACAAAAAGTAAAACTGGCAGCACAGCAAAACAAACAGAGCTGAATAATCCAGAAACACACGCCCATGTAATAAAACATCTCCTGGATTATTTTTGATGTTTCTCCATTTTTGACAAGAATTCTGATATCCAAAACCAGCTGTAAAAAAAAGCAGAAACCAAACAATTGCTGCAGCCTTAGATACTAAGGAGATGCTAACTGAAAACTTAAGGAATCTTCACTGTTGATGAGCAAGTCTTCAGGGATTGCTTGCTTTACCCTCCTTCTACAAGCTAATACAGGCAATTAGTGAAATAACCAGTGAAATCATCAGAACAGAAATAGAAATTTCTTCTAATGCTTATAGCAGTTACGGTTCCCTCTCTGAAGATATGAAAGCAGAGAGAGAGCCCTTCGATGAGAAACTCCTGTCCACAAAAAACTACTTGGGAGAATTGAGAGTAGTGGAATTTTGCTTAGGGGTTGAAATAGGATTCGCGCTTTCAAACATATATACTGCTCCTCGAACAATTATCCCCCCTTTTAAAAACAAAATGCTGTTTTGGCAAAGAAGATCCAGAAAGACAAAATACGTAAATAAAATCCTGACAGGCATGTTGTAAGACAAATATTTTTTTCCTCTATGAAACAATAGCTTTGGAGAAGGTCCATATTGCATCATTTAACGGTAAATAACTAAACTGAGGGCAGCGGTTGGCACTGCTGTCACACGCAATGAAATAACATTCTCCCCCTGAGGAACCATTTCCAACTGACACAACTGAGCTCACACCAAACCCGAGGTATTTTTAATGCCGTCAACTTATCTGAGTCATTATGATGCGTTTGTATTCAGGCAGAAATCTAATAAATGTCTTTTATCTAAGCAGCTGATGTGTATCTCTCTCTGATTAAGTATACAACATTAGAAAAACCTTCTTTGTCCAGAAAGCTACACAGATTTTTAGCCATAGAGGTGTGCGAATTGAGCCGAGGGCTTATCACTGTGATACGCTCATAGTCCCTCTTCTTCCCGGTGATTTCTAAGCAAATGAGTAAAATCATAGCATTACCAAAAAAAGTGGGGAAAAAAGTCAGATGAAATAAGAATTACCATTTTTGTGCATAAAAAACAAACCAAATATTTTTCAGGTCAGACAAAGTTCGTGTCCCTCACCTCAAGATTTTGCAAAATACTACACTTTAGAGGAAGACTGGCTAAAGCATTAGTACTTGGCAGCATTTTAACCATGGACATTCAGAAACCATGAAGGAAATGAAGTAATACTGCTCAAAATCCCAAGACCAAGCTCCATCCTATCATGTGTGAAGGTGCATCTAAATTTCAAACATTTACCCACAATGAAGTAGTATTTTTAAGGTACTCTGACACTAATAATGTTCTGGACAGGTTAAAAACACGCTGCAGAAATTCTGCACAACCTATCCATAGTGTAGGTGGACCCAAACTAAACCCTCAGATCCAAACCCCCTGAGCAAAGCCTGGATGCAACCCCTGCAGATGGTCCCTGTTTTGAATAGTGAGGTGAACTACAGCCTCAGGGGCTGACATCCCTCCACCTCACCTGGGGTAGGATATGGTGGGTTCAGAGGTCTATCCTGAAGACCTACTACAAGAAAATCAAAACATATTCAATTCCAGCTTCAAAAGAAACAAGTCTTTCAGGAGAGGATGGTATGTGGGAATGGAGTCTGTTTTGGCAAGGGATGGCCTGTGACAAAGCCAAAGTCCTGTTATCGAACTGGTTTGCTCCTCATGGTACTGCCCTCTCCAGGAACACTCATTGCCAGCCACAAGCAATTGTAAAACATATTTCATGTAATACTGGTTTTAAATCTGAAGTTTGCTTTTGTTCTTCACTCAAAAGCATCAGCATCTTTATCAAACTGTCCAAGAGCTGATACAGTATCTCCACGCTTCTTATTTTATTAGAGTCTTTTTCTATTCTGGGGTTGTTTCTGGATGCTTGGCTATGAAATTCCCTACCCTCAGTCTCCAAATTCTTCCTGAAAAATACCTCTCTGTATCTGGTACCTAGTTACTACAATAATAGTCACCTTAGAAACATTATAAATACACAATTAAATAGGATTCTGTTCCAAAGTCCATTAAGTCAGTAAAATTTTTTCCATTGACTTCAATGAGCTGTGGGATCAGGCCCTGAAATACTTTAAATACATTTTTTCCATCTATAGCCTGTTAATACAGAACATATTCCATTTTTTTCATTCCTCCTCTAACATCCCTGCCCTGAGACACACATTGCTGTGTTAAGATGTACTTTCTTCCCATGCCAGTCTCCTAGGTGCCAAGCTAAATCCCATCCTCAGTGCAACTTGGTGTAATGCTTATTTATTCCCCTTTCCAAAGCTTTTCATTCCAAAGCTAAGGATGTGCTGGCTTGGTTGTTTGGTAAAAGGTTTTTTGAACTCTTTATCTACTTTCTGTTACCTGTCTGCGCAGAGGGATTCGCTTTGTCAGCTTATGGACCGCGGGCTGGCTGCTGAAATCAGGCTTCTTGGTGGTGTTCTTCATGCGGCACAGGATGACCGTCAGCACCATGCAGGCAATTAAGAAGACCCCTATGCAGTAAATGGCTATTTCCAGGTAGTCTGGGGATGTCGGGTATTCTTTTTCTTTTTCAGGAGCTGGATTGGAAGTTTTTAGGAGGGAACAATCACGCCACAGAGTTAGCAGATGGTAACAAACATAGTTCAACACAGTGCTTGGAACAACCTGACATGGTAAAATACCAGCAGTTCTTGCAGTGACTGTGTGACATACAGAATGTTATGAATGTTTAGGCCATCTTGCAATCTGAGAGTAACTCCTCTTTTACTGCTTTGAATTCTCAGTTTGCCATTCAGCATGAGCTTGTGCATGTATCTGTACACATATAGGCATATACATGTGGCTGCCTAGAAAGGTAGATGCATATACATTGAAAAAGTGGATGATCGAGCATAATTTTAGGGGAGAGTCAAAAAATGGGAGTGCTCAAACTAGGCTCACGTTCATTTTGTGGTTAAGTCAAACTTCAAAAGCCCTGTAGTTAATTTTAACCACATAAAGACACATCTAAGGGTAAAATATTGAATTAGTTAGCCTAAAACAGTATAAATGTGCAAATAGACATTTGGGCTTGAGTCTGCATTGCCTGTTAATCCACAGTTTTCAGTGGGAATCTCAAAACACAGAGGGAAGGCAGGATGAATCATGCCTCATCATGCTGCTAAACTCAGGTTAGGAGTTTCAGGGGGGTTTCAAAGACCTGGCTGCTGCATTATACTGGATGCCTGCCTCCTCTGAGGTTCTTTGAAGAGCCCAGTGTGAGATTAAGAAGCATAAGGCAAGTGGAAGCTGAATTGCTACCAATACATTAATTAACAAGTCCTGCATAAGGACTGCATATTTCAAGTAACCTCATCAGTGGTTACAAGCCTATGAGATTAGATTTTGGTGGGAGTGGTTCTACATAGCTGTTACTCTGATTGAAAGCATTTTGAAACTATCTTCAAGGCAGTTATATGTGCAAACACTGTCCTTAATCCCTTATCTGGGATTGAACCCCCCAGATAAACAGCATTCCACAGCAATCAGCGGTCACTCTGCAAGCAAGGCACGTTTCAAGCTGAGATTTTCTTGTGCCCCATTCTAGGCTCATAAAAATATCTCATCCCCAAAAATGGGTTAAAAAAAATACATTTCAAGCACTCGCAAAATGCAAACACTGCAGAAGCAAGCTCTACACAAGTACTGCTTTGCCTGCTTGGTGACAGGCCATGCAGGCTCGGTGTTCACATACGAGTGAGATGTAATAGAGTTGCCTTGTTCAGTATATTTTAATAATGGGTAAGAAATCTGCAGCAAATGGGAACATTTCACTCCCGTAATATGAACCTCAGCCATATGCACATGCAGGTTTTGTACCTTTTACTTAGCATTAACGATTAATAAATGGTAAGCACAAGATGACCCAGCAAACCTCAGGTGGTTCATGTTCTTTTTTCAAAGGACCTCCTAAGGCAGCTGCCAACAGTTATAAACGAGAAGATTTGACTAGTGTCAAAACCAACTACGGTTACATCTTTAACAGCTGATAACAATTTCCAGGCAATAAAGCACATTGATGTTTGTTTCTTTTAAGGACAGAAACACCATCAACCCCAAAACAGCAAGACATGCTTTGCAGTAAAAGCAAATGACTACTTGTTTTCTTAGAGCATGCAATGTTTAAAGATGCACGGAGCCGATTCCCAAGATATGGAAGACACTGCTTCTGTACACAATCCACTGGCATTAAAATCAGAATTTGGATGATAGGTGAAATTGAATTGAAGTACACTGAATAGCTCAGGTATTTTAATGAACCAGTATGTAACTGTGGCCAAATTAGTCCCAAAGCTTCAAAAGAAGCTTTGACTTTCATCCTCTTGAAAAAGTTTACAATGATTAATGTGCTGATTTTCAGGCATCTCACTGAAGCGCTAAGGAAAGGCAGCTCCTTAGCATTTCAGATAATCATTTAACAGATGTAAAAATATTTCAAGTTAGTGAAAACGCCATTCCCCCAACCCTTTTATTTTGTTGCTGTTGTTAGGTTTTTGGAGTTGCAAATATGTGACAAAACAATTCATTGGCTTGAGACACCTGTGTTTAAATAAAAATCATTGTAAAGTTCTATTTCTGAGACAGAAGCTGTGCCTAATTCTGCAGCAATCAACAAGGGGAAAAACAAAAGAGGAAAAACCACAGAAAGAGAGCAGTGTATACCTGGCAGAACTGTCAACCATGCAGTGTGAAAGGATATCCCAATAGAATTACCCGCCAAGCATGTATACTCCCCAGCATCCTCAAAAGTTACATTCCGTATATAGAGAACCTCAATTTCTTTGTCCGTGGTGTTAACACCGGCAGCCTAAAAAAAAACAAGAGAGGGAAGCAAGAGAAAAAGCTAGACATTGAAAGAATTCTTGTGGATAGGGAGATGGAGCCACAGGGCTTTGTAAAGGCAGAGATGCAGAGATGCAAAGCTCCTTCCCCATCCACAATCCCTCATCCAAAAGGCGTTTACCAACAGGTCCCAGCTCACCTCAGAAAGTAATCGACACCCTTCACCAGACCTAAACTCACCACCTAAACATGCATGCAATCAAATGACATGGAAAAATTTACCCACAAAGCTGTTTTTTTATTCTTCTTTTATAATAAAAGAAAGTTGAAAGACAAAGAGAAAACAAAGTAGGACAGAACGCAGGATCCTTCACATGTAGTTACCTGTTCCAGAGGAAAGAATTTACTATAAAAATATAGTCTGAAAGGATTAAAAGAAAGCTAAATTCTGCCTGAAAAGACACAACTTAGTAGCTGTCTTAAGCAGCGTACGGTCCTTGCATCACCCACTGCACTTCACATAAATATTGTACATTGTGCAGTGTTGCCAAATGCTGTTTTAATACAAGTCTGGTAATATTTGGTAGTTTGCTTAGAAGTACAGTGGAAGGAATCTCAGCTCTTGTTCAAAGAAAAGATGAGTTGTTACTCAAATGCAGAGAAAAACTGGACCTTACAAAGGTTCAAGAACAAGGAAATGGAAATCCTAGAATGGTTTGGGTTGGAAGGGACCTTAAAGATCATTGAGTTCCAACCCCCTCCCACAGACAGGGACACCTTCCACTGGATCTAAATCTTAGAGATGGAAAAATTAATTCTGGAAGTAGGGGTTTTTTTTAACAGGTTTCCTTCCAGACTTGCTTAATCTCTGTCTTGACAAGTCATTATGCACCAAACCAATCTGTGTATCACTGATTATCCAAACTCATACAGACAGAGTAAATCTTAGACAGCTTTCCAGCTGTCCAAAGATGGGCTCAGCAAGACATCAAGGTCTCTATGATGGAGATTTAGAGAAATTGTTACTTTTTGTCTCTGTTCCATTCAAAGACATTACTTTGAAATACCGGATGAGGGAATAAACACAGTTTTACCAGACCATTTTAAAGTAAATGTAGCTCTGAGTTGTAGTCACATTATTGGTGGGTTATTACCCAGTTAATAATGTGTGAATAACAACTGGAAAACCCTCCCACCCTGTGCATTCACAGGTGATGTGGGAAGTTATAAGTGATTAAATGGACCTAATTTGTGCTTCAATGGGTACTTTATGGACAATTCATATATATATATGAATGTATATATATGTGTAAATATATATATAGGTCATAATTACTTTATTCAATGAGTACCCTGTATGTGAACTGCAAAGTATGCAGAATCAACAACAAAAGCGACATAAACACACAGACACAAGAGGGAATAAAGAAACCAGTGGTTATGGCACACACAGAATATTGTGGGAATTTTTCCATGGCTGCTGGTGTAATACCAGTTGCATCACCAAAGGAGGATTACACATATACCACAAGGCCAAAGAGTTATCCTACAAGCTGCCTGCAGTCTCCCAAAGCACCATTTTTTCCAGCTTCTACATCCAGCTTGCTTTAAAAAACATTGTTACCTTGTAAACTTGGCAGAACTGAGAGCCAGGCAGACTGGTTGGCCTCCCCTATATAATTGGAGACCTTACAAATATATTCTCCAGCGTCCGCCTCTGTCACATTGTACAGTGTCAGCACTTCAGCATTGGAACTATTTATCCCCGAATGCTAGAATAGACCAATAACACAGGAGAACAATGTCACTGCTGCCCAAAATGGACACCAATCTATGGTCCCACCACCAACACGTCATAAGAATATGCCTTCCACTTCACACAGAGTCAAGACATTGAAAGTTTGGGGGCTGTTTGGGAGTTTTGTGGGGCTTTTTGGGGGGGGGGTTTAAATCAAAAGCATCACACGCCTGAAACATTCAGAGATAAAGGACTTCACAGAAGCAAAAAAGAGCAAAACAGCATCTATAAACTGTATCATTAGCATTTAGACAATCAAATGCTTATCATTTAAGTCATTATTTCACTTCTAACACAAACAATTCCTCTTCCAAAAGAAGTTCACATCTCAAAACTCCTGGATTTACACCAAGTACATCCGATGCTTTAAAGGGGTCGTCACCATCTCCAGCATCTGTAAAGCCTCACCTTCAGAACCTGAAGATACGGCAGTCCATCTGGCCCGTATTTACTGCCATTCTTCTCTACGTGTTTTATCCACTGAATGTGAGGCTGGGCATCACTGTAGACTTTGCAGACAAACTCGACATCCCCTCCAACGACTGCAGAGGCGTTTGCTGGAAGGCCAGCTTGGAGGATGGGCCTGTGTGGTGATCGCTCTGTTCGGGTGGGGAGAGGCAGCGAGGAGGAGGGAGATGGGGAGGGAGAGAAATAAAGATGCATAAATAAGCAGAGCTGCCAAGAAAACTGTAAGTGAACTCGAGCCAAACAGCCCTGTAAGCCTGTTGGCTGACTCCTCCGAAATAACACTGTGGCCAAAACCTATAACAAAAACTGCAGTTCAAAGGAGATGACTTGAGCACTACACTTGTAATAGAAAGAATAGCTATTTGAGGGGAGGGGCGAAATTGTGCTTAGAAACTTTGACCATTTTTCATAGCTCGAGAATTAAGTAAAATAGGATTTTTTTTGTTGTTTGAGCTATTATAAGTACCTCTGAGTTTTAAAACATTTTAATTAGACTAAAACTCTACAAATTAAAATGAAAAATTATTGATTCCTTTTAAAACCCGATTATGTGATGTTTGAATGAGAAGTCCTCAAGATGACACTCCTGGTTACTAAACTGCTTTATTATCCATTGAGCAGGACAGATAATGCCACCCTACCCAGAAAACAACCAAAGGGAACCTCTCAAAACTAGAAGCCTCAGCACTGAAAGTCCTTAAGCAGGATGCACACACCAAGCACCTAGACTACTGAAAATGCTGTGACCAGTGCTATCACAATAGCTGCTCTCTGCTTTACCAGCACGGCAACAGAAATACCAGTTTGTTCTTACTCTGATCAGGACACAGGGCAACACAAGAGTCCTCTGGAAAACTGTAGTGTATTCAGTGTGAGCCAATAGACCTTTGGGTCTAGCATTTATCAAACATTCTTGAACAAGCTAACATCACTAAACACACCGAGTGTACCCTGTATCACCCAGGTACCCACAGAACCACTGAAGCCAGCATTACCAGCCCAATTTTGCGGATGCAATATTCATCATAATTGGGGAAATCATCACATTTTCATCACCCTCATTAAGCCTGATTTAACCACCTAAAATCTTCTGGGTGGTGGGCAGCTCCCCATCATCAGGGCCATCAATGACCTTTTTGTGCCAGACAAGGCAAATGGACAAAGCATAAAGGCTTTTTCTTATGTGATGTTTGAAGGAAAAGTCCTCAAAACAGCAGCCCTGCTTACCAATTTGCTTTGAATTCGGTGAGTGGGATGGACAATGCCACTCTTCCCAGAAAGCCCTCAGAAAGATGCAGTCTCAACAGCCTAGCAGGGAACTCTCCACCTTCTTAGATTAGATTGAGATGAGTTCTTAGGCAGAAGCTCTTCCCTGTGAGGGTACTGAGGTGCTGGCACAGAGAAGCTGTGGCTGCCCCATCCCTGGCAGTGTTCAAGGCCAGGCTGGACACAGGGGCTTGGAGCAAGCTGCTCCAGTGGAAGGTGTCCCTGCCTGTGGCAGGGGTTGAAACTGGGTGAGCTTTAAGGTTCCTTCCTTCCAACTCTGTGGTCAGAGTTGGGCAGATGCTGATTTAAACATCTCCTAAGAGGGACCAGCAGCCATTGCATCTGGCACAGACACATCTCTTTTTCCAGCAGTAAGGCAGATCTACTAACACAGTTTTCTCTGATTTGTAGTTGGCCATTTGGTGTGTTAATGTGGGAGACCTTCACATTGGAAGTAGGCGAGCTTTAAGCTCCCTTCCAACCCTAATCATTCCAGGATTCTTCCTGCAAGCCCAGCGCTGTCCATTCTGTTTTATAAGAATGTAAAGTTAATGCAGACCTACTTATATTTTCAACCTATGAATTGAAACACCCACTGCCCATCCTGTGCTGTCCTTTCCCTCCTGCTCCAGGAATTCTTTCAAAGGTAAGTAAGGAGCAGTGGACCTCAGTATTTATTTTTAGAGGCTGTATGCTGTAAAACCTTTGAACGTTACGAGCCAAATCAACTGAATTTCAAACCAAGCATTCCTTTTTAAACATACTAGCTTCCAATAAACTGTTTCACAAGCAAACATTGCAAGTATAATAGCAAATAATGATGCCCATGGAACAATGGGATCTTTTATACAGTCCAATATATTTGGCGTGCAGCAAACATCTACTGGGAATTTACTCACTGAGGCTACACTGGCAGCATGCAGTCTTATTTTACTTGTGGCAAAAGTGCATTTGTTGTTGCAGCTATTAAATTATTCCAAGGCTCTGTGTGTCATTTTCAAAGATCTAGGAACAAAGATCTATTTTTTAATTTGTAAATTACAGTAGAACACATAAATTACTATTTTACAGTTCTGGAAAGAATTTGTAGTTTCTCACCTTAAACTAAATAAGCTTTAATTCCATCTCTCTCGCTCCTTCATTTGGGTACAAAAACAGCAAGCAAAAAAAATCTCTCTTTAATAGAAACCTTACACCATCTTCCAAAACTTATTACAGCTGCCTCCAGTATAAAATGAAACCTTAGAGAATGTTATTTAAAATGTTTTTTAGAAGTCAGTAGGCCTCATGTTTCATTTCTCCACATAAGGGTTTGATTTCCTTTGTGACCTTATTCTCTGCCCTTAAACAAACCAGAGAATGAGGCCTGAAACATCTTGGAAAAGTTCCTACTATGCCAGCATCAACACACGAAATGTGTTTAGTTTATCCCGATAGCCATCAATGATTTAATCTTTTATTGATGACTGTCAAACATTTCCTCTACCAGAAAAGAGGAGGCAAAGCAAAGAAGTAAAAGCAGAGTTCTTACATTCTAGGTCCCAAATTCCTTTAAAACACCTAAATAAAGTCTGTGCATACGTATAGGTGTGTATGTGTAGCCAGTTGTGAAATTTCTTCTCTAAAGGTAAGTGTGCTAAAAAGAAACTTTGGTTGCCCTCCAACATATGGGGCAATGATCGGTCTTTGTCAACTCCCCCACCTCAGCAGAAGGGGATATTCCTATGCCCACACAGGCAAACAGCACAACATAACCATCACGATGCAAATTCGGCAGGGTTTCATGACAAAGACCACAAGAAACACTCAGGATTGGGGAAAACAACTAAATATGGAGAAACTCCACTAATTACAAATGATCAAGTATAATTCTATACAGTATCATTTCTTAGAAATAGCCGTTTCAGGTTGTTATCCTGTCTTTCCTATTTCTCTGCAAACCACACACATCTGAGGACTCTGCTTAAGCATAGGTACTGTCAAAACCATATTCATAAATCTCACATCACTATTTAGCATTTAAAATACAAGCTGTACATGTGTAAGCAGATATCATCACTCAAACAACTGGCTACACAAATATTAGATGGAAACAGTGTGTTCTTTTCTACTAAAGACTAGCAAAGGACTCTAAAAGGTTGGTGAAACTAGTTTTATCGTTAACCCTAAAAAAAATAATATTTCTAACCAGGATCACTGCTAAACAAGACATCTTTGGATATTTAACTCAGACAAAGAGTATTTTCATACAGAACAAGTTAGCAACCCATCTCATGCCTCTGTAGCCTTACTGATTTCAATATTCCCCTTGCTCATTGATACTAAATTGAATCAGAACCTCAAGAAATAAATCTTTGCTACCTATCCACTCTCAGTGCAAACTCGCTTCAAAATCAAGTCAACAGCATATGCATATGGAAAATCACCCCACAGATGAGCTGTCTTTAAGCACACTAAACCATAAATGAAATATAAGTATTAGTTACCTAGTGAACTACATACGGATATACAAGGTTTTTCATGGATATGAAAAGGTTCAACTGAAATGCCATACATGTTTAAAAGCAAATGTAATGGGTGTTTAAAAATGTTTAAAATTGAACAGTATTTTCTGTGTCTTGATCCTAAATTGAGCCAAATTGATAATTACATATAAATCTCCGTATGTTACATTTCATTTGTATTCTAATTGTTCCCACAGTCTAACTTTAGAATGCTTTTTAGAGAGAAAGCATGCTTTACACTGGTTCCCACCTTAAGAGATAAGACACCAGCTTGCTTTCTTCAACTTGCAGTTTAGATACAAAACCAACATCATCCCCATTTGAGGAGTCAGCTATCTACAAAAGGCAGAGTGAAAATGATTGCTCACGTGAGGAATATCATACTCAAGGCCACAAGCAGCTAACTTTTACACCACTTTAGAAGTGCTCAGGGTGAGCAGCTCTCCTTGCTTATCCATAGACAAACAGACTTGCTATCTGAAAAGATGACTGACAAAGATACCTGCTCAATGGCTTGAAAGAAACTGTCATTTAGCCTGTTAATGTTAAAACTTCAGAATACCTTCCTCCAAGAGAGAAAACTGCAAAGAATCCAGGAAAGCTGGAAAAGTCCAAGTTTCCGCAAAACTGGCCCATTGAAGGAACTGCTCAAGCAGCACCCAGCCCTGCAGGACACCTGGGGGTAGCTGAGAGCCCAGTCATGGCATCATTGAATACCAGCTTGGAAAGGGCCTCAGGGATGATCTGGTCCAGCCTTTCTAGGGAAAGCATGATCAAAACTGGATGTCCCAGCACCCTGTCCAGCTGAATCTTAAGTGTCCAGTGCTGGGAAATCCATCACTTTCCAATGGCCGGTTGTTCTTGTGAAAAATTCTCCTCTCGTGTCCAGTTGGAATCTCCCAGGAGTAACTTGTGCCCATCACTCATCTTTTCCATATGATTCCTTGCAAAAAGGGAGTCTCCACCCTTTTCGTAGCCACTTTAAGCACTGGAACATGGTGACAAGGTCTCTCCTGAGCTGCCTTTGCTCAAGGCTGGACAAACCCAGCTCTCTCAGCCTTTCCTCATACAGCTGGCTCGTCCTGCCACAGGTGATGGAAGGAGAAATGACTGGAAGAAGCATTCTGGAAATGACAACCAGAGCCTGCACACTTCCCAAGCAGTCCTATTGGCTCTTTAAGAAGTTTAAGTCCCTGAACAGGAGATTGCTACAAAAGGGCCTCATCTCTCTCCCATCCTTGGCTTTTTCATCTCCTCCAAATATTGCTGATAGCTGCAGCCAACATAGCAGGAAACCAGACAGAAGACCAAACAGTCATGATGTAAATGTATGAGGTGAAGACACTGGGGTGAAGAGGTGG